GTAAGGGTTAAATATTTTAGAAGAGAGCATAGGTTAAAAAATTCTTGAGCTTGGATTAGGTGAGCATTCTTAGATACAACACCAAAGCACAAGCAAAAAAAGGAAACAGAGAAATCAGACTTCATCAAAATTAAAACCTTTTGTGCTTCAAGAGATGCCACAATGACAGTGAAAAGGCAGCACACAAAATAGGGGAAAATGTGAAATAGTGTGATGGCACACTGTAGTCCCAGTTACTCAGGAGGCTGAGGGAGGATTGTTCCAGTCCAGGAGTTCAGGGCCAGCTTGGGCATCATAGCCAAGACTCTCTTCTTTGAAAAAAAAAACATGAATAGGAGAGTGGACTGCAGGTGTGGCAAGTGGTATAGCACCTGCTCTGCAAGCCTGAAGCCCTGAGTTCAAACCCCACTCTTGCCAAAGAAAGACCAAAAAATGAATAGGAGAGATATGTTCAAATCATATATCTGAAAAGGGACTTGCATCTAGAATATATAAAGAACCCTTGCAACTCGACAATAAAAAAATCAACTTGATTTAAAAACAGGCTGAGGACATAGACATTTCTCCAAAGGAGAAATAAAAATGGTCAAGAGCACATGAAAGAATTCATTAACATTATTAGCCATTAGGAAAATTAGCAATTAGGAAAATTCAAATGAAAACCACAATGAGATACATTTCACTCCCACTTGGATAGCATGAAACAAAGAGGCAGATAATATAAAGTGCAGCCAAGGAACCCTAACATGGCTGGTGGGAATGTAAAGAAGTGCACTTGTTGGCAGCTCTTTAAAAGATTAGTTACCCTATGACCCAGTAATTCCATTGTAAATGGAAGTAATTCCATTGTGTAAATGCCCAGGAGAACTAAAAATATGCCCCCCACAAAAACGTGTACATAACTGTTCACAGCAACATTACTCATATTAGCACCAAAGTGGAAATAATCCAAATGTCCATCATGAATGGATAAAGTATGGTGTAGCCATACAAAGGAATATACCCAGGCACGAAAAATAATAAAGTACCGGTAAATGCTACAGCATGGATGAACTTTGGACACATTAGCTATATGAAAAGAGCCACATACAAAAGCCAGATACATGATTCCGTTTGTATGATATGTCCAGAGCAGACAAATTTGTAGAGTCAGAAAGTAGATTAATGGTTGCCTGGGAAGAATGTGTAGGGTGACTCGTGACTAGGGGGGGAGTGACAGTTAATGCATACAGGCCTCTTTTTGGGGTGATAAAATGTTCTAAAATTGTGGTGATGCTTGTTCAACTATGAACTAACAAACCTACTGAATTGGGTACTTCAAATGGATGAGATGTATGACATATGAATTATATCTCAAGAAAGGAAAAAACAAAAGAAAAAGCATATTGGAGAGTTTTCAGATGACTTAGAGGCAAAGTCTTTGAAGACTTCATCCACATGTCTAATTAGGAGTTGTAGAACCATGTATACTCTTTTTCTTAGACAGTGATTTCAGGTATCAGAAAAACCAGATAGACAAAGTATTCTTGCTGACCATTTCCCAGGATAGGGGCACAGCCTTGTTTGTTGCACAAACCCACTCCCCATCCTCAACCAATTTTTATTCTCTTCTCTTCCCTTTGTCTTTTGACACAGCACACTACTTAAGTAGTGCTGTTAGAATGGGACTGAGAGGGGCTGGGGGCTGACTCAGTGGTACAGTGTGTACTTAACATGTCAAGGCCCTGGGTTCAAGTCCCAGTCCCCCCCCCACCTAAAGACTGATGGTAGCCCGGTATCTTGAAAAGTTTGGAAATTTTTGTTTTTGAATACACCACTCAGGTTTTTCAGCTCAGATAAAACTAGTATCGAAAGTCTAGGTTCTATTATGATGACCTATGTAGTTTATTAACCAGTGAGTCATCTCTAGTTCTAGGAATATTGGCCACGGTTCCAAGGCTGTGGCTACCACTGCTGCTTTCTATTTCATTTTTTTTTTTTTGCAGAACTGGAGTTTGAACTTAGGGCCTCACACCTGGCAGGTAGGCACTCTACCACTTAAGCCATTCTGCCAGCTACATTTCATTTTTTAAAATGTTTATACTACTTTCAGGGGGAGACCAATCATAAAAATATGGTAACAATAGCTCCATCTATAGATACAATGTCACTTGTGACAACTGGTTACTAGGAATATTTGCCCAAAATGATTTATTTTGTTTTTTCATTGTAGTGAGAAACCACCTCTACCCAAGATGTTTTACTCACATTTCACTATACATTCAAAGAGTATCAAAACAATAGCTTCCAAGGGGACACCTGACTCAAGGTTAATGGCAGTACCGCAGAAAAAGTATTCTTCCATGTGAATGAATTTGTAAAGGCCAAATCACTGCTTGCAATCATTAAACTACATAAACAGTAATACATCATACCTGCAGCATTTCAAGAGATTGACCTGGCTTTTTCTGCTCTAGCTCACCTTGTTCTCTGGAGCTTGTTGCCCTTAGTCTGAAAGTTGGGAAAATAAATCTGGTACAATTGTGGCATGGCATGGATAACTCTAGAGGGCCAATGGAGACAAATTATCTTTGATTTTCCTTTGTACTCCTTAGCCACCCATTGAGTCCTGTACAGTGTTTTCACATGATGTCTATTGTACTTGTCTTTCTTCTCCATTTTTGTTCCTATGCTCAAGTCTAGGTGTTTATGGACTCATAAGATTATTGCAATAGCTATTTAACTGTTTTCCTCATTTCCATCTCTCTCTCCATAAAGTACATCTGGCAGCAATATGAAAGGGTGAATTTCTGTGTTTAATTTAGCATTACACAGACTTAAAGGCTAAATTTCTAAAAATAACATTTAGTCAAATAAGATCTTGGTTTAAAAACCTTGACTGGCTCCCACTACATACTGAGTAAGGCCCAAACATCATTGGCCTTCCAAATCGAAGTTAAATTTTCTTTCGAGATTTGTCATTTACCAGCTCCTTAAAAACCTGCTCTCTTCACCATTCCTGGAACTTCTGATGATTCTTTTTGCACCATTGCTCATGATATTCCTCCTGCCTAGACTACCTTCCCATCTTTGACCATTTATAATTCCCAGTGACCTCTCCTTCTCTGAAGATGATTAGAGTTATGGAGAGTCATTCATTTGGCAATATTTCTATCCAACTTCTCATGTCTTACTTTGTTAATTGTTGTACTATTTAACTGTTTGTATTTTGCCTCCTCAAGCTACTTGGGTGTCAAGTTACTTGGGTACAGGAGCCATTTACTATATTAAAAAAATTCCTACACTATGCTGGGGAATGTGATTGGGACTAATTGCTAACAAAAGAGTGCTAGAGTTTCCCCAAGATGTCTTGTTCTCAGATGGGGGCATTTACTCTAGGTGACAGCTCCTTACACATACATGCCAAATATTATTCCTTTAAAGGGGAAGCTCACATATGAGAAAGGGAGGGTAAAAGAAGGAAGTTAAGAAGGTGAATATGATTGATGCACTTCCTATACAAGAATGAATATAGAATTTTTAAACGTGTTGAAATCACCATAAGAAGGAGACTAAGGTAGAAAAGAGAAAACTAGAGGGGATGAATCACTTTGGGCTTTCGTACACATATACATGGAAATGTTGCAATGAAAACATCCTGTATAGATATCTTAAATAAAAATGTCATTTTTTTTAAACAAAAACAGAGAACAGGAAGGCAAAACAGGTCCTACCTGGAGGATATGTACCAGTGGGCGGGGGAGGATGTAAGGAAAGGGTGTGGGAGGGGGAATATGGTGAAAATATTATGTACACATGTATGCAAATGGAAAAATGAGACCTGCTGAAACTATTTCAGGAATAGGAGGAGGGGGATGAAGGAGAATGACAGAGGGGGTGAATTCAACTATGACATATTGTAAGAACTTTTGTAAATGCCACAATGTACCACCAGTACAACAATAATAAAAACAAATTAAAAATAAAACAAAATAAAGGGGAAGCTCATTCTACAGATTATTCCAAGATATAAGGAATTACAAACTATCTCTGAAAATACTTCTGAATTTCCTATTACTGTACAAAATGAAGTTTCAGTAAACAAGTTTATAATCCTCTAAAATCTTAAAAATGACATGCAAACAAAAATGGCTATACCAGGAGTATAATTTCTAAGATTTACTTGATCACAAAGTATTTCAAAAGCCATAGCTCCATGCAATCCATGTATAGTTCAAGGTCTGTTTTTATGTCTATAAAATAGGCTAAACTACATAAGGAAAATAAGTCCAAAACTTGAAATTTATGGAAGGCAGCCAAAATCCCATGGCTAATGCAAGCTAAGCTAAAAAAAAAGCTTGAAATACCTTGGTTTCTCCTGAATTATTGAAGTAATCTGAGATTTCTTTCATAGATAGAAAGTTAATACCAAATGAGCAACTGCTAAATTTGTGATGGCTATGTCTACTGACCCAAGATGTACTGTGACTATCAAGTTCCATCAAAATTTTTGGTAACCTTGTAAGTGAAGAAAATAATCATTGCAAAGTTCCCACCTTGGACTGCTGCTAAAGCTTTGAAGTTGCATAGGATGTACTTACTTATATTCTCAGATATGTTTTGCTTAGCTTTATGGATGGCCCCAGATGATTGTGTTATCAATAAATGCTGCTTGCTTAAGAAACCTGTGCCCCATATCCTTCATCTTATATGTGGGGCAGAGACCAACTTGAACACCTAGCATCATCAGACTGAAAGTGCAGGGTACAGTAAGCTTGGCATTTCTAGTATATCTTTCTTTCTGAAAATTTCCTGTGAAATAATGTTTTTGGTTCCTTTATTCTAATCTTGACTCCTAATAGACAAGAATTCAAATTGTCACCCCAATTTGAAATATCCGTGTTTTGTGGAAAATTTTAATTAGTTTTGTCCTCCAATGATTGATATGATAATGAACTCAGCCCCTTTGTCATGAAAAATGAGTTCAAAGTATTATTTCTTTCACCTCTAATTACAAATACGTTTTACCTTTTATTGTGTTCCATTATACAATTTTACATAGTACCATTATTATTTTAAGCAATAATTAAGCAAATTGAATTAACGTTTGTGAGCTCTACTTTTTCAGCATATAGATTTACCTAAAAAAGTACAAACCAAGCACAGTGGTGCAATTTTCCAGGCACTTTCAAGTTGCTTAAATATTTACAAATATGTAAGCACCCTGTTTGAAAGCATGAAAATTTTGGTGTCAAGGAAGAAACACTCCACATATATCAAATCTTTAAATTTTAACATTTGCACAGCTCCAAATATTCCTGAGAAAGGTCAGTCCCATTGTCATTTACATCCAAATTTCTTCATACTTCAGTGTATCTTGGGGAACCATAACCCCTGTCACTCGATGTACCACTAATTGCACAAAATACATGCAATGTATTGCTCATCCAGGGAGAATGCATTGTGTCTTCTTGTAATATCTAAAACAAAAGAAATATGCATGATTATCATCAAGCAGTATTGCTACTGCCAAAAAAGACCGTGTATATGAAATTACAGGCATATTTCAATTTATCACTGACACCAAGCTATTTAAAATGACAGAAAGCAGAAAGAGCAAAGAATAACATTACCGACTTAAGTCTTCAAAGCTGAATTACAAAGGCAGCATATCAAAAAAGCAGAAAAAATCTGGTTACTCATTAAGATCATAAAATGCAAAATACAATAAAAATGAGAGGTAATTCTTTAAAAAGTATCTTAGCAGATGGTCATGAAAGCTCTAAACAGTAGACTACTCTTTGATAAGAGTTTATGGATCATCTAACACAGTGGTGCTCAGAATCACTGTGGTACTTTTCCAATAGGCAGATGCCCATGCTCCTTCCCTGCAGACTTGGAAATAACGTAAATGAAGATAAAAGTCAAAAGTGCATATTTTAAAAGACACTGTGATTATATAAGCTAATCATTACAGAAAATTTTCTTGGGAATGAATAAGTTTATAAATATAAGACACTATATTACCATAAATACATAAACATATACAATCATAGAACTACAAATGTTTTAAAAATTAACCATTCTGTATAATCAAGAGCAAAAGTAAGAGAGGGCTTATGTTTAGATGAGATTGAGGAAAAGAATAGTAAGTATACTATAGCCACCCTCTTTAACTTCTAACTTAGGTCTCAAGCTTTCAGTACTGGGTTTTCAAGTCGGGGTTTTGAAACCTCAGCATTAAATCCATAGACTGGTAGTACTAGTCACAGTATTGAGTCACAGTATTGGTTTTGCTACAAATCGTAACACTTAAATAAATCCTGTAATAGAGAAAGTTCCTCTTATAAAAATCTTAACTCATGACACTAATCTGAAAGACGACTAGTTGTTTATCTGTGCCTGTCAGATGTGACAAATAAGGTATTCATTGAGAACAAATTACAAAATACACCAGATACAATGGCTACCGCCAAACTGTTTTTATATATTTTGATATACTTTAAGAGGTTACACTGAAAACGGCCAAGGACTATTCAGGCCTTATCTTTCTTTCTTATTTATTTATTTTTTTTGGTGGGACTGGGCTTCAAGCTTGCAAAGCAGATGTTCTACCACTGGAGTCCTATCTACAGTCCATTTTGCTCTGGTTGTTTTGGAAATGTGGTCTTGTGAACTATTTGCCTACACTAGCCTTGAACTGTGATCCTCCCGATATCAGCCTCCCAAATATCTAGGATTACAGGTGTGAACCATCAGTGCCTGGCTGGCCATATCTTTTTGCTAAGTAATCATTTATAGAGCATTTAGACTTTGTCTTATTTTGTGGATTTTTATAAATATCCAAGTATATGATTAAAAAGGCTATTTTATATTAAAATCTAATGGGAAATACCGATTCATTTATTAAAATTCACTGTAAAGCCAACAGTTTGCTTAAATGTAAACCAAAAAGAATTAAGAGTTTTCTTGGCTAACTAACAATATGTAACATTAAGGGTTTAAAATATTGGTCTTTACAACTAAGAAAAGTAGCTTTGGTTTATGGGAATAATCAATACAGACAGGTGAGAAATACGATAGACAATTTGAAAAATCTGTGCTTCAAGGGGAAAACCTACAAAATGACCATTCTAAAGATCTTGATCACAGTAGTAACTGGATCATTTTCCTTCAATTTGAATAATTTAGAGTTTAAGACTAAGTCATGCAGCTGCATGCAAATAAAGTAATTGTCAGAGAGTACACACTGGCTTAAACACAGCATGTACAATTGTTCCATATCTTTTGTGGGTTTTGCTATTTTTATATGTATTATGAGGAACAGAAACTCATAAACCAAATAGTTTCTAGGAACCAGCATGTAGACTATATGATAACATTCTATACCTCAGAATCATGATCTTGAAGACAGATATATCTCCATTGTGTTCATGGGCTGAACTTGAGATACAGACAATAAGGGAAGGGGAAAGTTTTCCTGCCTTCCTAGTCCCAATCATCTGGCTACTTTGGGAAGAAGCTGAAATGTGCCTCTGGAAAACGAGCAGTAAAGGGATGCCTTAGAAATCTTTGTGCTCATTCTTAAGTAGACTAGTAGAAGTAAAGATGGCAAAAAAACCGCCACTGATTCCAGGCTCCTCGAGCCAATGAGATTTCCAGCCACCAAGAATGGATATGGAGGAGACTGCAGTAGCTGGTTTTTTTAACCTCATGGGATGATGAAAGCCTGGCGGGTCCTGATTCTCCATACCTAGGAGATGACATCGGTTGGAAAAGTAGACTCTTGGTCACTCGGTGTAACCTTAGGCTAATTATGACTAAAGCTTCCACAGCTTTTTCTAAGAAAAAGCATATAAAATCAATTCAGAGCTTGATGGAAAGTCAGCTAGTTTTTGTTGTCCTAGAAGTCTTTCCTCCCATCATTGCACCACAGCACTGGGGCTATTGCTAAGTCCCACTTTTGTGTGTGAGTCTCCCGCAGCGAGTGATTGCCTTCAAACAATCCCTGAGACACAGATTCCAGAATTTAAAATATTCCTTTTGCTAGGTGCCAGTGGCTCACACCTTAATTCTAACTACTTGGGAGGCTGAGATCAAGAGGATTGCGGTTCAAGGCCAGCCTGGGCAAAAAGTTCATGAGATCCTATCTCCAAAATAACCTGGGCAAAATGGACTGGAGGCATGGCTCAAGTGTGGTACGCATCTGCTTTGTAAGCATGAAGCCCTGAGTTCAAACTCTAGTGTCTCTCTCTCTCTCTCTCTCTCTCTCATTCTCACTCTCTCTCACACACACATACACACACACACAAATATTCCTTTTTAGGACTGGCTTTAAGAATATATTCTCTGAAGGCTTGCAGTTACTCTTGTTTCTTTTTTTAGTCTTTAATTTTTATTTTAGTTTTGAGGATTAAATCACTAACCCAATCCCATCTTTAATTTCTCAAAAGTTCAGTGTTTCTGAAGCAATATTTATCTTACTTGGTGTTTTCACTAGTGTGGAATTGAAGGAAACTTTATGATGTGCTTAAAAGGCTCAGTCACTGACAGACCAGATCATCATGCTACAACTTTTACAAACATGTTTAAAAGGTTTAAATGATTAAGTGAAAATCCATGTACAAAGGGCTTATAAACAAATTTCAAGGTTGTAATATAGTAGTGAAGTTTATTAACATAATACAGGAATAGTCGGGTTTTCCATAAGGGTCAGTAGATATATAGAAGTGATGACTACTTAATGATGACATAATTTGTCTTCATTTTTATATTTTTCAGGCTGTGTTTTACTAAGTTAACTGTAATCAGTAACCCTCAGTGATAGATTAAAATGCTAAGAAGTTTTACAAAAACAGACTTTCGCAGGCTGTAAGGGTATGAAGACAGTCCCCAAGTTTTGGAAACCACTTAAGATCTCTCCTAAAACAAAGCAGATCATCTAGTTTCTTATAGTTTACACAAGATCAGGGTGGTATGGCTGTAAATAAGACTGTCCTTTAATTTGGTGGCACTGGGGTTTGAACTTAGGGTCTCATGAATGCTAGGCAGGTACTCTACCATTGTATAGCCAAGATAGGAATACTTATTTAGTTACTAAGTCAAGCACTGCATTTCTTTAGGACTCTTATCCATGTTTACAGTAGTTTAACTCAGACTTGCTCAGCTAGCTGCTTCTTATGTCACTGTAGCACAAAGAACAAGATGGTTTATTACTGATAATTGCCTCAGAACAGTTTTAGACAAATCTTCAAGTTTGGTTTGTATTTTATCACTTAAATGATTAAAGATATCATGAACAAATTTCAAAATACAGACTAATTTTAAGGTAATGCATTTCAAACTAATAGATTTTGCTAAATGACACCCCAATACTTGCCTGCTCATGGATAATGTTAGACAATTCTTTCACCATGTCTCTGAAATTTGACTTTAACCCTTCATGGTACTCAATTTGGTCCTCTTTAATTAACCGCTCATTTAGTTCAAGTGCAATGCTACAAGCTTGTATGAATTTCCTGTGGATAAACATCAAGAAAAAAGGTTTTATTATTTATTCTTAAGAAGATATTGTTATTTTCTCACTATTTAAAAGTACCATTTGGAGCTCAGAGAATGCCCTTTTTGGAGGGGTAATATCTGGTGAATATTTTGTTGTTGTTTTTAGAAGAAAATGGAGCAAAATAGAGGTCTAATCTGAAAACCACAGAACACTTACCTAAATATGTCTTTCAACTCATTCACTTTCTTAGAAGGATACTTGCTGGCTTGACTTTCATTTAAGAAAGCTCTTGCATATGCCAATGGACCAGCATTGACCTAAATGACAAAAGTAGGAAAATGAGAGCGTTCTCAGCCTGTAATCAAAAAGAGTTTTTGCATTTTTCCTTTTTATTAAAACTCCCAAGGGCTGGCAGTGAATCTGGGTGATAGAACCCTTGCCTAACATGCACCCTAAAATATATAAAAAGCAAATCTAAGACATGTATTTACTATGCTTATGACGACAAGTTCATGTTAAAAATCATTAACTAAAGTGAATAATCTGGGAAGATGATACTCTAATAAATTAGTTAATGATTTCTGAGATGTAAATACAAGGCCTGGTTGGTCAGAGATTTATATAAAAGTACTCTGACATAATAAAAAAATTATAGAAATTAAAAAATAATTTCTTCATTAAATTTTTGCACTCAGTGAGAACATAATACACAACTACAATTAATGCTTGCTTTGTGCCCTTATGAAAGCAAGAGACACATCAAAACACTTAATAGGTGTTAGGTGACCAACGTACCTGCACAGAAACACAGCCTTGCAACTTAAGTTGAAGCTGAATCATGTCCACATCGGCAGAGGAGCAAAGCTTTTGCAGCTCTGCAGTTTTATCTCTTATTTCATCAGTGGCAACATCAATTGGTTTTAAATTAATCTGCTGTTCACAGGTTATAGGAATCCTCTTCTTCACATAGGGAAACGAGTTTGAAGCTATTCAAATGTTAAGATTGATTTACTATCTTTAGAAAATCATTTGTTGAGTTGAATAAAAGAAAAAAATCCATTGTGTTTAATTTTCCCCATGCTTTCTCTCGAAAATTCTAAGGCTACCGTACAGAACCTATTGCTTTAGAGGGAAAAATTTTCTTTATGGGATACCTCTAAGCAATCATGAGTGACATATGGGAAAATGATAGTTTATGGCAAGGACATGTTTGTACAAACTTGTAACTGAACAGTAAAATAGCAAATGATTAAAAAATTTCAGTTACATGTTCCTGGTGGCCAGCTGGTACTTGTGTATATCAGAAAGAATAAAGACAAATAAAAAAGTTAACATGAAGAGTCCTACTTACTAGTCAAGATTGTACGGCGTTTACACTGTTCTTCTATACAGCCTTGCTTTTTGCCTGATAAGGTATAAGGAGCCTCAAAAACAAATCTGTTGATATTATGACTTCTTTCAAACTCTGTCTTTCTTTCTGTGAGTTCTTTGTCATCAAAGTAGGGCTTCACATAAGTGACTTGGATATGAGCATATTTTGGATCAAGTTCCTTGGGATTTACCTGTAAGATGAGAAAGTTTTTTATTTAATTCAATGGGAGGGAGGAGTAAGTAACTTACTCCTTTGAGACTGTGTGAGAAATGTTTCCATTATGATTGTGCTCCCAACTGACTACACACCTGGAGGAGACCTTTGTTCTTTTTTAAGGATATTTTTTCCTGATTATAAAGAAGTTACAAAAACCTTTTTAGAGACTACAGAAATGTAGGAAGAAAATAAAAATTACTGTAATTCTACTACCCAGCAACAACTATTATTCATATTTTCACATATTTCCTTCCAATCTTTTTTCTATGCATTTATTTAGAGTACTGAGATCATACTGAATATTGTTTTATATTGATCCCTTAAAATATAACAAAATAAGTTGTGCATTATATGAATTGCACCTCAATAAAAACATATTGCAGTTATAGTTCTATTCTGGAGCTATTGACATGACTTAGAATGGCTGTATGGACACACAAGATTTATTGGATTATTCCTTTATTAATAGACAATAAGGTCACTTCACAACTTTTTGCTGCTGCAAGTAATGTTTTGATGAACGCTGTTTAATTTAAAACTATGTATTTTTTCTGATTTTTTTTCCCCTTAGGATAAATGCCTAGAAAAGAAAGTCTTTAAGCTAAAGGATTTACATAGTTTTAAGCATTTCACTATGTATTACTTAACTGTACTACAGAAAATCTTATCAGTTTGGATATTTGATATCGTAAGAGTGGACTGCATTATTTATTGACTGCAATATTTGATTCCTACCCTATGGAGGAAAGGGACCACAAGAAAACAATGATTCTATTTTGAGAAACAAAAGTCTAGCTGTAGAGCTGGGAGTACAATTCAATGGCAGAGTACTTGCTTAGCATGTGCAAAGCCCTGAGTTCAACCCCTAGCATTGCAATACAAACATACATACATAAAAATGTAGAAGTCTAGCTATACTTGTGGACCATTTGATGAGGAATAAATTCCATGCTAAGAAGCTATGCTGCTAGGCATCAATCCCAGCACTGTCACTGTTGGAACTTCATCCATGGACTCTCAAACCCTCCTTCTAGCATTTCTCCATTAACTCCAGATACAGACAACAGCCAGGATCCTGTCTCAGTGCTCTCCCAACTAGAAGGTCCTGTGCCTTCAGTGTTAGTGATTCACTCAATATCCTTGTAATTTATGACAGTTGGAACTTTTTGTGTTTAGTGGGAAAAAACAAAAAATGAAACAAAACCAAGAACCTCCCAAGAAAGTGTCTATATGCTTTTGCTCTCCACACATGTAGGATTGCGAGCCAGGATAGTAAATATCTTAGTACCTGTTACCTTCTCTAGACCTATGCTTAGCTCCAGAAACATTAACCTTCTTTTCTCTCCCATTAAACCACTAGGATTTTCAGAAAGACCTCAGGAGCTAGTTTAAGTAGTTATATGGCTAATAAAAACATACAAGGGAAATAAAGTCTGATGTCTAGACTTTAAAAGTTTATACACACATATGCATACTTACATGCCTATGTACACACACATTCAAAGAGTACAAAGGGTATATATGAATAGCAAAAAATTCTTTCCTCCTAGCTAAGACTCTACTCTCATCCCTTTGGGGTAATTGTGGTTAACAATTTTGTATGTATGATTTTAGACTTATATAAGTAAGTTTATGGGAATCTCCAGTTTCATACAAAGTACGTACTAGCCATACAGTTCTGTATCTTGCTTTTTCTCCTTCAATAACATATATTGACAGGTTCATACTGGTATTTATATATCTTTCATTTTTTTAATTCCTTGATGATTATATCCATTTAGCCAGCCATATGGACATTTAGACTGCTTCTAGGGTTTTACTGTATAAAATTCACAGCAGTGAACATTTATGAACATATACCCTTATGTGTGTACATCTACAAGATAAAATCTTAAATGTGAAATTAATTGAGGACACATATATTTAAAATATCGGAAGATAATGCCAAACTCCTCTTAAGCAGATTTTGTTCTTTGGCAAGGTAAAAAGAGTGCTATTAATTGCACTTTCACACATTAAGAAAGATATCAAATCCCTTACACAGAATGCCATTTGGATATAACCTATGCGACATCCTCGTGTATACTTCAGATTATCTCTAAATGTTTTATAGTAACAAATGCAATGTAAATGCTGTGTAAGCAGTTGTTATACTATATTGTTTATGGAATAAAAGGTAGAAAAGAGTCTGGCTAGGTGTGTTGGTGCATACCTGTAATCCTAGCACTGAAGTGGCAGAGGCAGGAGAATTATGAGTTTGAGGCCAGTCTAGGATACATAGTGAGACCTCATTTAATAAAAAAAGAAAAAAGAAAAATAAAACAAATGTGTCCAGTACAGATGCATTTTTTTCCAAATTTTTTTCTGCTAATTCTTTTTCTTCTTTTATTTTATCATTTTTGCAACTTACTGACATGTGTATACATTGTTTGTGCCACCTCCCCCACCACCAACCTCTCACTTCCAGGCAGAATCTGTTCCTTCCCTCTTTCTCTGATTTTGTTGAAGAGAAAACTTAAGAGATAGTAAGAAAGACATAGCATTTTTGCTAGTTTTGGGATAAAGATAGCTTTACAGAGAGATTCCTAGCATTGCTTCTGTACACTTGTGTATTGCAATACACATTGGTTCATTTCTACCTGACTTCTTTGCTACCTCTTGGTCCCCTTCCCATAGTGGCCTGTGCTAATTTAAGATTACTTTATTCACTCCTCAACAGGGAGCACATCAACCACATTCAAGTTTTAGGTTTCTTTCTCTTTCCCTATTCCTCCTGTGCAAGTGATCCATGTCCAATAATATTACTACATTCCAAATATTTTCAATTCATGGTTGGTTGACTCTGGATTTGGAACCCACAGATACAAAGGGCTGACTGTATTTTATTTTTACAAGTAGGAACTGCTTATGATATGTGTTTTCAGTAGGAAATGAGTAAAATCTGGTGGAAAATGATGTCAAGACCCCAGCATTTTTTTGCTTTTGGGTGATACTGGGCTTTGAACTCAGAGCCTCATGCTTGCTAGGCAGGTGCTCTACCACTTGAGGCACTTTGCCAGCCTTGTCTTGTTTTGGGTATTTTTGAGATAGGGTCTGGCATATTATTTGCCAGGCTGGTTTCAAACTGCAGTCCTCCTGATCTCTGCCTCCTGAGTAGGTAGGATTACAAGTGTGAGCCACTGGCGCACAGCCATCACCAGCATTGTTTGGCCAGGTTTTCAGAGGTAGGAAAAAATAGAAAAATATATGATGCCCAGTTGGCCTGGCTCCCCATTACCTTTCCCTTTATATAATAATTGATAGGATGGGAGTAAGCTAAGACTATCTGGCTGCAAGGAGAGGAAATCTTCTGCTGTCTTCTTTTTGAACTCAGGGCCTACATCTTGAGCCACTCCACCAGCCGTTTTTTGTGTTAAGTGTTTTTGAAATAGGGTCTTGTGAACTATTTGTCTGGGATGGCATCGAACTGTGATCCTCCTGATCTCTGCCTCCTGAGTAGCTAGGATCGCAGGCGTGGGCCATCAGTGCCTGGCTCTTTTGTTGTCTTAATTCAATAAAAACAACATAAAATAGTGAAATGAGTAAGAAAAGAAGAAGTTTGCCAAATATTAATTTTGAACCTACCAGTAAATACATTTTTATGGGAAAAAAGCTCACATTTAATTGTGACATTTTAAAATTGTACAAGTTTTTGACATCTGCCCTCCACATTAGTCTCTTAAAATGATAGGACAACATCACCAATCACAGGTTTAATGGGTTTAATAAGTTTACCCTTTCAGTTCCTATTTGCAGCACCCGATATTCCTTTGAAATACCAGTCATACCT